CCCCTCTCCCGGCGCTGCCATCCCAGCCATCGCTTCGAGCAGCTGCAGGGACTCACAGCCGGCCAGCAGGGAGGACAAACAGCCCCTCGTGCCTGTCCTGGTGTCACCTGCACGCTGCTGCTCAGGCGTCTCGGCAAGCAGAGCACGGCGACGCGGGGGAGTGACCGCACAGACATAAAAACAATTCCTGAGTTTTCCCCCATGGAAAACCAGGCCACCCCAAGGAGTCTGTGATGAAACTCAACCCCGACCCAGCTGAGGACTGAGTTCCATTTTTATTTTTTTTTCTGTTTTTCTCATCTAATGGGTTCATCCTCTTGTTTGCACAGAACCGCATCGAAGTGAGCGGTGGAGAGCTGAGATTTTCCAAGCTAGTCCTGGAGGACTCTGGCATGTATCAGTGTGTGGCTGAGAACAAGCATGGCACAGTTTATGCAAGTGCTGAATTAACAGTGCAAGGTAATTCCTCCTTTCCCAGAGCTCTGGGTTCCAATGGGACACTCCAAAAAAATCTCTTCCTAATATCCTGATGTGATCCTGACATTGTGATGTCGCAGCGAGATAAGAGCGGGCAAAAACTGCTCTGCTCACCACTGAAAAGGTTGCTGGTTCAACAAGACACTGTGCAAGCCTTGAAATTCTAAATCCTGTGTAAATTCTGTGTGAAAGTGGACAAAAAACTCCGTTTAGCCACAGGAAGTGGACAGGACACCCAGCAGCAGCACTACAACCTCTCTTCCACTACAAATTCCTTTTTTTTGGAAGAAAGAGGTCAAAAAAAAAAAAAATTCAGCTTTCATTCCACCTGGTTTGATGGATGGTGACTGGAGCTGAACTGCTGCCAAACTTGTTTCACGTTAGCCCAAACGTTTCTCTCCTCATGGAGATGCCAAAGATAAATTAAAGGCCCTGAGCACCAACTGCTCAACATAAACACACCGAGGCCAACAGGTAAATCCCGATTCCATCTGCAATTCCAGGAGGAGTTTCAGGCAAGCTGGATGTCTGCGTTGGTCAGGATATTGAAGAGATTATCCTCGACATGTTCCAAAGCAGCTGTTGTTGTGTCTCTCAAAGACCTTGCACTTGTTAGGGTCATTCCCATCGCTCCGTCCCACTCGTGTGCCACATAATTCCTGCCTGGCAGGCATCAGGACCCACCCTTGGCAGCCGAGGAATTCCTCCCTTATCCCGCTCTCCAGACTCTGCCTCGCTTCTCTTACCGAGCCATCCAACAAACAAATCAATTCCCACTCGCACGGCGCTGAAATTCCCCCCAGGGCAGCGTTTCTAATCGTGCCTTAATCCTCTCTTTTTATCCCTGTAGCCTTAGCTCCAGATTTTAGACTAAACCCGGTGAAGCGCCTGATCCCGGCAGCCCGCAGTGGGAAGGTCATCATCCCGTGCCAGCCACGAGCAGCACCAAAAGCCACCGTGCTCTGGACCAAAGGGACAGAACTCCTGGTCAACAGCAGCAGGTAGCAGCACAGAGTCAGCTTCCACCTAGAAAATGTAGCTGAAATAATTTTATTTTCTTTAACAGAAGACTGGACTCGATGATCCAAAAGTGCTGCTGGCTCCCTGAATTTTGTTACTCCTCTAATTTCTTCTTTAGCAAACTCCTACACGATTTTTTTCCACCTGATTTTGTCCCCAGTTTCTCCAAAATCAGTGGGAATTCCCAAAAGTCCAGTGGGCATTTTAACATTTCTTTGCGTGGCTTCTCCTCCTTTGCAGGGTGACCATTACGGCGGACGGGACCTTGATCCTGCAGAACATCAGCAAATCCGATGAGGGAAAATACACCTGCTTTGCTGAGAACTTCATGGGCAAAGCCAACAGCACTGGAATCCTCTCTGTCCGAGGTAGGGATGTTCATTTGGGGTCAATCAAGCAAGAAACAGCCAAAAATGAATGATGTGATGTTTCTCCTTTCCTTACACTCACAAAAACCAGAATAATCAGGGAATCAAAGTGATTTCAGGCGGAGCAGCAAAACTTCTGCCTGACCCAGTAACAAACAGCCCTGGAGCAAAGCGTTTCCATTTCCTGGTCCCTCCTCTTCCTCCCGTGAAGCTCCAGCTGTTGGAGCGGGATGAGGAGCTGGCAGGGATGGTTTGGATGCTGGGATGGGGACATCCACTGCCAACAGCCCTTCCTGCTGGTTCCCTGCAGATGCCACCAAGATCACGCTGGCACCATCGAGCGCCGACATCAACGTGGGCGAGAACCTCACCCTGCAGTGCCACGCGTCCCACGACCCCACCATGGACCTCACCTTCACCTGGTCCCTGGATGATTTCCCCATCGACTTTGACAAGTCCGAGGGGCACTACCGGCAAGCCAGCGCGGTGAGTCCAGAGGGAATTCCGGACCATCCAAAAGGGTGGAAAATGAATTCCACACTCGTTGTTTGCATGTTTGTGCCCACCAAAGCTGCTCTGTCACTTTGCCCAGAGTGGTTGTGAGTTCCACATCCCTGGAAGTGTCCAAGGCCAGGTTGGACAGGGCTTGGAGCAACCTGGGATAGTGGAGGGTGTCGCTGGCCATGGCTGGGTGGAATGGGATGGGCTTTAAGATCTTCCCAATTCAAACCTTTCCATGATTCCATGGTCACTCGCCTCCTAAACTGGAGGAGAAAGGGAAAGGCCTGTGGATAAAGGCAGGCAGAGATCACCCAGTGATCACTCAATGATGGATCAATGACCACTTATTGATCACTCAATAACCACTTAATGATCAGTCAATGATCACCCAATGATAGCTCAATGTTCACTCAACCATCACTAAATGATTGCTCAGTGATTGCCCAATGACCACTCAATGGTCACTGAATGGTCACTCAATGTTCACTCAACAATCACTAAAGAATCGCTCAATGATTAGACAATGACCACTCAGTGGTCACTCACTGACCACTCACTGGTGACTCATTGATCACCATCCCAAGCCAAACAGATCCAGCACAGCCCCAGCCTTGGCCAGCACTGGATCCATCCTGAATCCATCCAGCTCCATTCCCTTGGGTGAATCCTTTCCCATCTCCCTTCTCTCCACCTCCACCACCGCCCACCTACCCAAACCCACCCCACACTGGATTCTGGCCCGTGACTGGTCACCTTCTGGTGCTGTCCCCACCGTGTTGTCCCATTGCCCTGCAGAAGGAGGCCATTGGGGACCTCAGCATCTCCAACGCGCAGCTGCGGCACTCGGGGCGTTACACGTGCACGGCCCAGACCGTGGTGGACAGCGCGTCCGAGTCAGCCACGCTCACCGTCAGAGGTAATTCCCTGTGGGAGGGTTCCCTGCTCCTGGCAAACCCAGAGCAATGACCCGGCCCATGCCATCAGCTGCTCTGTAACCACCTCACACCCAATAATTCCATTATAAGGCCCAGTGGGTTTTGTTTTCACCCAAAACTTGGGTTTGATCATCTTGGAGGTCTTTTCCAACATTTCCAACCAAGCTGAGGAGCTTTTCCAGAGGCTAAAGCTGGTGGTGAGGCTTCTCACCTTCCAGAAAACAAAGGCCCAATGTGATTTTAGGACTTGCACAATGCACAGAGTGACAAACCTCCAGATTTTCCATGCCAGTGACACATTCTCCATGTCCCCAGGACCTCCAGGCCCACCCGGAGGGGTGGTGGTGAGGGACATTGGTGACACCAGCGTCCAGCTGAGCTGGAGCCGTGGCTTCGACAACCACAGCCCCATCGCCAGATACCTCATCGAGGCCCGGACCCTCCTGTCCAACCAATGGAAGCAGATGCGCACCAGTGAGTGTCCCCACGGTGGCACTGGTGACACACCAAGGCCACCGGCCACCGGCCAGCCCTGGCTCCGTGCTGCTCCTCGCTCTATTCCTTCCCCTCTGGTGCTGTTGGATTTTACAGATCCCGTAAACATCGAGGGCAACGAGGAGACGGCGCAGGTGGTGAACCTCATCCCCTGGATGGATTACGAGTTCCGGGTCCTGGCCAGCAACATCCTGGGAATTGGGGAGCCCAGTCTGCCCTCCAGCAAAATCCGCACCAAGGAAGCAGGTGGGTGTGGGGACAAGACCAGGTCCCTGCCCAGGATGGTCCCAAGGGATGAATCATCTCCTGGAGAGCGCCCAGAGCAGAGGCCACCACAGGATTTTCCATCTTTTTGCCCATTTCTGTGTCAAAGATGAGCAGGGTTAGAGCTGCACTTGCCAGCACTGCATCCAGCTGGGAATGTTTGTTCCATGTCCAGCTGCTTGGACAGAAAGGATGGGAGAACAGGAGGAGAACCTCACCCAATCCACCAAATGCAAACCAGCTTCTTCCTAATAAAACTCCCCTCCACATCCCTGCTTTTGAGCTCCATCCTTGTCCCCTTGGACACCAAATCCTTGTCCCTAAATCCCCTGGTCAGGCACAAGCTGGAATTCCACAGAGCCCAGTCCTTTCCTGGGAGCTGTCCCATCCGGTGTCACCGGTGTCACACTTTGTTTGTGCTCCTCTCCATCGCTCCCACCTCCTTAACCCAAACTCTGCTTTTTTTGGGGACCTCACAGCACCGACGGTGGCACCGTCCGGGCTCGGCGGCGGCGGAGGGGCTCCCAACGAGCTCATCATCACCTGGACGGTGAGTTGGGAACAGGGAAAGAACCAAGGTGGGACCTTGTGGCGTTTTTGGGGGGAAATCGCTGCTGCCATCCCAGTTTGGACATGAGGTTGAGCCAAGGGCTGGTTTGGATGCACCAAATGCACATTTCCTTGGGAAATCAGTGCCACCATCCCAGTTTGGA